TTTTTTTTTTTTTGTGCGTAGTAATTGTAAATGTGTAAACTTTTAGTTCTGAAGAATAAAGTATACAGAACAAAAAAAACGGTTTATTTGACACTAAGCAATTAAAGATTTAACTCTTATTTTTGCTGCTTAGCATAAGTGCAGTAATAGAAGAAGTTAGGAGCTGATACAGTTATATTGAAGTTTTTTTTATGTCTTAAGCTTTTCCTAACAATCAATCTATTTTTTTGGTCGTTTTTTTTTTTTCTTGTAGAAAATGATATGTTTTGCTGTTTTTGTTTAACGTAAATAATCGGCACAAAAAAAACATTCGCTAATTGAATAGAAACAAATATAAAAAAAAAAGTGAGAACTATACTGACAATTAGGAATTTGGTTGCTATGACGTCATAAAATTTGATATTGAAAAAAGAAATTATAAAGTGGTGTTAAAAATTGTAAAAAAAAAACTTTTATAGATTTTATTTTAAAATACAAAAAAAAAAAACGAAAAAGCTGTAAAAAAAAAGTGAAAATTTTATCTTTAAAGTGTTTTACAGAAACAATGGATATCAACGACGTAATAAATTGTAAAATAAATTTAATGGTGGATTTGAACATTTATTCTGATGCTATTTTCTGTATACTCAGAATTGTAGTTGGTATTTACAATTTTTATCATATAATCAGTAAATCAGTTTATAAATTATTTTAATAAGAAAAATTTTATTCTTTTTTTTATTATGATAAGCAGTATAAGTAATTTGTAAAATGTATAAGCAATAAATTTTTTTGGCGTTGACAATTGTTTTTCATTTATTTTTTATATATCTCTTTAATTGATTTTTGTTTTTTTTTTCTCTTTCACATACAAAGCGATAAACTTTTTTTTTGAATTAACTTATTTTTTACACTGATAGATTATATTTAATAATACAATTTAAATTTCGTAGCACAATATGAAGGTTTATTGCTTTTTTTCTGCCGTAATCTTCAGTTTCTTCGTAGAACTTTGTAAAGTGACAAAAAAAAATTAAGGAAAGTGTACTTTTTTTTATAGTATTTCCTCATTTTAAAACATCTGTAATACTGCCTAAAATAGCAACAATTTTCTCGTTCTAAGATAATACAGCACCGTTTTTTCCTATTTATTCAGCTCTTTAATCGCACCAGAATATTTTTTTTTTTTTGCTATTAATAACTTAAAAGGAAAGAAAAACAATGTAATCTTTAACCGATATTTTTAAGCATTAATTTTATACTGGCAACAAAAGTTTTATGACTTGAACAGTTATTTTTAGAAGTGTTCAACAAAATGTAACAACAGTTTTTTATTTATAGCAAAATGCGCTGTATCTAAGCGGAGAATCGTATGCCGGTATGTATATACCATTTCTAGTTGAAAGAATATTTCAAACAAACAATGGAAATAATATTCCAGTTAAGGTAAATTAATTAATATCATTTTTGAGACAGTAACACTGAAGTTAAACTTTTGTTGTTTAATGATCAAAAATTTTAAACTCACTTTTATTTCATTTATTGCAAACGTATTTTTGCCTAATTATCTTAAGCAACTTTTCCTTCCAATCTTTTTTCTTTTTTTTGCTTAACTTTTCAAAAATTTTTTTTTGATAGAAGATTGTTTATAAGACTCTATAAACAATGTTATTATCTGTTACCGATTAGCCTTAGTGTGAATTGTCTTTTACATTTAGAAACGTTTATTTCTTTTGTTCAACAGTTTATTTTATAATATAAAGTCATAAAAATCTTTCTATTTTACATTACTTCTGAGCAGTATTTCAATACCAAATTTTATAAAAGCAGTTTTTTCTAAAAAAAAAATCTACAAATATTTCTCCTCTGCTTTTCAGCCTTTCTGCGTCTTCTATTGCCAAATAAAATCTCTTGTAGCTTGTTGATTAGAGTAATCTGTCAAATTTTTACGTATTATTCATTTTGGTAAATCATAAAAAAGTTGTTAAACAAAAGATTGGCAACCATAGTAAAAATCTACGAAACTAATTTTAGTTTTTTGAAATCGGTTAGCCTTATAACATTTTTGTTAAACGTTCTAAAAATAATCATTTTTAGGGAATTATCGTCGGCAACGCTCTTGTTGACGTTGATCTCTGGCTTAGCACCATTATACCATTTGCATATTATCATGGTTTTGTTGATGAAAGGTTTGCTTATTTGACCAAATGCTAGTCGAATAGGTTTAAGCGTTGATGATACTAAGATTTTTTGTAATTTACAAACACACATTTAGCTTTTGAAAGTTTTAAGATATGTTTTAAAGTACACTTTGGTGAGCCTAAATTTTGCTACTGCAGTAATTTGTTGTCAAACAAATGTTGTCAGGTTTTTCTTTTTTTGCAGTCTTTGGAGAAATGCCCTAAAAATATGCTGTAATGGATCATTAACAGACTGCGATTTCGATAATGGTCTAGAATTTTGCGGGTTTTTTGCTTCTACTGTCCGAGAAGATGTCTGGTTTGTTAACTGCTCAAGTGAATTCTTAACTGACTGTATGCTAAACAGGACATAAATGAACGTCCTTCATTTTTGGCTGAAAGCTGTATCATTGGTTTGCAATATGTTGTTTTTAACAGACTGTTTGTTAAAATCAAAAAGTTTTTTTACCAATTCTTTGCAGAATTGTTTTTTAAAAGTTACGAAATTAAATAAATATGAGAATAAACTGAGAAATAAAAAAAAATTTAGACAACTTCAATTGTTGTTCAGGAATGGACCAGCCTACCGATATAGTATGTATGCTGGTTGCTTAGAAGAAAATACAACCACAAATATTTCACTGAAACAACGTCGTTTACTCAAAAGATCTCTGAAATATGTAGGAAGTTTTTTGTTCAAGCTGTTTCACTGTTTTTGCTTCATTTTTTCCACATATATAAAAACTAATAATTACACAGTTTTAAATCAAAATCGACCGTTTTTTTTTTTAAGCAGTGAGCATTCGCATATTGTTGCATAACACTAAGCTGTATTAGTAATATCTGATAGTTACAATAATCTCATTTTATTGACAAATGCTTCTAGTATTTCGAGTTTAGGTTATGTTTAAGAATAATTCACATTTTTTTCGGTACTGCAAAACTGCGGAAACACTGATTTGATATGATTCTGCTAATAGATTACAATTGAGCTGTACTTAGGGATGGCTGATCTGCAACGCACTCGAAGCGGTTACAGCCTATTTCAATCGTAATGATGTCCAGAAAGTGTTATTTCCAGCCCGTAACACAACACAATGGCAAGCTTGCTCGTAAGTATTTTATCAATTAAGAGAAAATTGCCTTTCTTAGTGCTAGCAGTTTATGTATTGCATAATTTGCAGAGACGAGGTACGGCAAAATTATAGACGACACTATGGCAACGTTCATAAGCAGCTGCAGATGGCTTTAGATAACGGTGTTTTGGTACTGTTGTACTACGGAAACACTGACTTGATGTGCAATTTTTTAATTGGCGAAAAATTCGCTTACCGACTTGGATATCCGGTATCAATTGTGCCAGAATCTTTTTTTTACTTACTGTAGTACAACGAAGGGTTTAACAACAATGTTTATAATAAATTCCATCTGCTAAGTTATGGAGATAAGCTGCAAAAAATAGTAGAATTTGCCAAATTACAGTAACAGTGTTACTTATGAAACCATAACTGTTTTGATAACAAAAAACTTGGTTTTGTAATCAGTTGTAGGAGAAAAAAGATTCGTAGTTTAACGACATTTTTTTAGGTGACTACTGTCAAACAAAGTTTTCGTGTAAATGGCAGGCTTGGTGGTTTTAAAACAAGCTATGGCAATCTTGATATTGTTGTTGTTCAGGTTACTAATGCTTTATTAGTGCTTTATAAATTTGTTATTTGGTGAGGTATAACATTATTGCTACTTGGGTTATTCTAATTAGTTTTCTTGCCAAGAAATTTAAGCTATTTTAATTAACATTACTCGGTTTTATACAACTTAAATTTCTTTATTATACCTAAAAACCAATTTGTTGAAAAAAGCAATTTTGTGCACTTCTGTACCTTTATTGTTAACAGTTTTTACAGGTTAGAATTCTAATCAACAAAACTATAATTTAGGGTGCTGGACATATGGTACCGTCTGAACGACCTGATGTCGCTTTATTCCTGCTTAAAGAATTTTTGAATCGTACATATAAATCCAACTACGGCATAAGAAATGACACCAATTTTGATTGGACAAAAGAATCTTGGTTCAAACATCAGGTGGTTGCGTCACAAACATGTCGAACAACTTCAGTGTTTGGCAGATTCAGTTTGCTGGCGCAGCTAACGTTGCATATTCCATTAATTTTATTTTGTACATATCAGAAAGAAAAATATGCACAACTGTTGTAGCGATATCTGTTGCTTTATGATGGTTAAGCAAATTATGTTATTTTATTTTTTACAGATACGTATATTTAAAGAGTCATAAGCTAAAATCAGATAGTCTTATTTCTAGTCTTATTATGTTTGATCATAAATAATAGTTGTATTACAGTTTACAAAACTATTCAAATTTATGCAGCCTCGTCGTTTTGGCTTAGCAATTCACGCATAAAATATATGTATCCAAACTGATCAACGTTTTGTTTGTCTGTCTATTCGTTTGTTAATTTGGTCATTTTATAACTCAGTGCTTTACTGATTTCAGGAAAAAAACTCTTAATTACTGATATGCTTACAGGACGATTCTGTTTTTACAAATACATTCCATTTTTCAGTTCTTTATAATTTTTGCTGTCATTCTGCTTTAGTACTATAACTTACTGTTCATTTTTCTTCTGCTATATTCAATAATCGTTTTTTTACAGAACTGACCTTATATATTTGTAACTAAAAAAAGCGATTATCTTAGCTAATGTGAAGATGTCTGGTAAAAGTCTTTTTCGTTTTCGTTTTTTAATAATATTGGAGAAGAACTAGTAGATTCAAAATAATAAATTTTTATACATCATTGTAACAAAGGTCTACTTAATTTAACAAAATTGGATTAGGTTTTTTGCGACTGATAAATGTTTAATATTATGTAAAAATTAGCAAAAATTTATCATTTTTTGTTACAGTTTTCTTCGCTTTGCTGATAATTGGTGAAAATCATTTGAAAAAA